GAGAGGAATTAAATGGACCATTTTCGAGAAAACAATCTACCACTGTTAAAGTGGTGGTATGTCCCTTGGATGGTGGTAGATCTATGATGAAATCCATTGTGATGTGGGACCAAGGTTTTTCAGGAACAGAAAGTGGAGTTTTGGTCATAGCGCAAACGGTACATGCTTGGACATAATCAGTGACATCTGTAAAGAAGGCCACCAGAACTGTCTAGATATGGAGGACAATGTTTTTCGAATTTCTGGATGGCTGGCTGACTTGGTATCATGGTACAAGGAGAGTATTTCTGTCCTCTCTGTAGACTAGGTGACACAAACAATTTATCGTTAGGTTTGTCATCAGGAACCTAGGTTTGGGTATTATGCACCTTGTCCATCAATGTGGAGGACATGGTTAATATAGTGGTAGCCACTATGCGTTCTGGTGGTATGATAGGAACAACCTCTAGATCCCGATCTGAGTCGGTTTCGAACGGTCGTGATAAGGCATCAGCCTTAGTATTACGAGAACCAGGCCTATACGTGATAATAAAATTAAAACGAGAAAGGAACAAGGACCATCTAACCTGTCTAGACAAGAGGTGTTTAGCCTCACTTATATAGGCCAAATTCTTGTGGTCCGTTATAATCATAACTGGAACCTTAGCTCCCTCTAACAAGGTTTAGGTTTAAAAATAATATCCGGAAGTATTACTTTACTGAGAGGGTAGTGGATGCATGGAATAGGCTTCCAGCTGAAGTGGTAGAGGTTAACACAGTAAAGGAGTTTAAGCATGTGGGGGATATGCATAAGGCTATCCTAACTATAAGATAAGGCCAGGGACTAATAAAAGTATTTGAAAAAATTGGGCAGACTAGATGGGCCGAATGGTTCTTATCTGCCATCACATTATATGTTTCTATAAGTGTCTCCACTCTTTCAAAGCCAGGATTATCGCTAATAATTCCCTGTTCCCTATATCATAATTAACCTCTGCCGGGGATAGGTTTTTGGAGCAGAAACCACAAGGATGGAGTGGAGTGTCTTGGGACTCACGTTGAGAGAGGACAGCTCCAACACCTTTCTTCGAAGCATCAACCTCTAATACAAAAGGCTTGGAAGGGTCAGGATGAATGAGCACCGGGGCAGTTGAAAAGTTGAAAAGAGACTTCAGTTGCTCAAAGGCAGACAGAGCTGCAGCACACCAGACATGGGTTTCAGCCCCTTTACATGTGAGACTAGTAATGGGGAATATGACCGAGGAGAATCTCTTTATAAACCGGCGATAAGAGTTCGCAAAGCCGATGAACCTTTGAATGGCTTTAAGGCCTTTAGGTCTGGACCATTACAAGACCGCCTCAATTTTTTTGGGATCCATTTCAAAACCCTTGGCTGAAATAATATAGCCCAAGAATTGTACCTCTGTCTGGTGAAATAAACATTTCTCTAATTTACAATATAAATCATTACGTAACAGTGTTGTAAGTACTTGAGATACATGAACGTAGTGGGTAGTAATGTCTGGGGAATAAACGAGGATGTTGTCTAGATAGACTAGAACACAAGTATGTATGTATATATATATATATATATATATTCCCTTAAGACACTATTAATTAGGTCTTGGAAAACCTCCGGAGCTTTGCACAATCCAAAAGGCATTACGAGATATTCGTAATGTCCACTCTTTGTATTAAATGCAGTTTTCCATTCATGGTTTTCTTTTATTTTGACCAGATTATATGCACTCCTGTGGTCCAATTTGGTAAATACAGTGGCACCCTTAAGTCTATCGAATAGTTCCGTGGTAAGAGGAATCGGATAGACGTGGCTTGATTCTTATGCAGAGATGTATGGTAAAGAGATGTGGGTTGAGTGTGTCACTAGTGAATAAATGTCTGATATCTGACCTTTTCTAGCTGGCAAATTCGTGAAATCTTGTTCAAAATGGGTAATTGGTGATGTGCCTACTTGTTGAATGATGGGAGAGAATGCTAGGCTGCAAAATTGCATGTAGCAAAATTAATATAAAATAATAAGGTATTGAGTGAGGACTTATTAGGGATGTCAGAGTATGCTATGCATATAAGTTTCCTAAAACCCACATCTCTTTTAAATGCAGGTTTGAAAATATACATCACTTTAATGGCTACCCGCTACCAGATTAAATTTTGTGCTCCCTTTGATCGTGTCTGCTGAACAAGATGGGTTTGACATTAAAGGAACACTATAGGGTCAGGAACACAAACATGTATTCCTGACCCTATAGTGCTAAAACCACCATCTAAACCCCTTTGCCTCCCCCTAAATATATTAAAATCTTACTTTTGTTCAACTCTGCAGCTTCTGGCTCTACCTCTGATCTGCCTGCTTGGCTGACATCATCAGAAGTGTTGTTCTGAGCTAAGCAGAATGCTTTCCTATAGGATTGGCTAAGACTGTCAAGGAGGCAGATCAGGAGCAGAGCCAAACACAGCACTGGACAATCAGCATCTCCTTGGTATTGAATCAATGCATCTCTATGAGGAAAGTTCAGTGTCTCCCTAAGGTTGGAGACACTGAATAGTAGTGATGCACACTGTGCAGAACTGCCCCAGGAAGCATCTCTAGCAGCCATCATGAGGAGTGGCCAGTATAGGTATACTTGGGTTGTAATGTATACACTATATTTTCTCTGAAAAGACAGTGTTTACTGCAAAAAGCCTGAAGTGAATAATTATACTTACCAGAACAAATGCAATAAGCTGTAGTTGTTCTAGTGACATAGTGTCCCTTTAAAAGCTCTTCATACTCTTTGAGAGAGAATAATCTCAGAAATGAAACCTATACCCATCCAAAAAACATTTGACCACCTGAGCTGTTCTTTGAAAAAAAAAAAAGGATTCTAGGCTATGTTATTGTCACATATTCATCCGCTTATAAAAATGTGGTTAAAGGGACACTATAGTCATCTGAACAACTTTAGCTTAATGAAGCAGTTTTGGTGTAAAGAACATGCCCCTGCAGCCTCACTGCTCAATCCTCTGCCATTTAAGAGTTAAATCCCTTTGTTTGTGAACCCTAGTCACACCTCCCTGCATGTGACTTGCACAGCCTTCCATAAACACTTCCTGTAAAGAGAGCCCTATTTAGGCTTTCTTTATTGCAAGTTCTGTTTAATTAAGAGTTTCTTATCCCCTGCTATGTTAATAGCTTGCTAGACCCTGCAAGAGCCTCCTGTATGTGATTAAAGTTCAATTTAGAGATTGAGATACAATTATTTAAGGTAAATTACATCTGTTTGAAAGTGAAACCAGTTTTTCTTTCATGCAGGCTCTGTCAATCATAGCCAGGGGAGGTGTGGCTAGGGCTGCATAAACAGAAACAAAGTGATTTAACTCCTAAATGACAGTGAATTGAGCAGTGAAATTGCAGGGGAATGATCTATACACTAAAACTGCTTTATTTAGCTAAAGTAATTTAGGTGACTTTATTGTTCCTTTAATAGCATTTACTGTCCACACAGGAAAAGTTGTGCCGAGCAGCAACCAAATCCACAGAAGGGTTAATGCTGAGCAGCAATTATGCAAATTGGAACCTGGTAACTGCCTTTGGGGTCAAAGGCCGGTTACAGCCTATCAGATCTAGACGAGGGGTATTTAGGCCCAGTTCTCATCCTGCTCAGTGCCCTGTCGTGGTTTCCCTTGTGGTTCTCCCAGAGCACGTTATTGATTCTGGTTATTCTGGTTATTTGACTTTGGCATTGTTTTTGAATCCCTGTTTTCTGGCATCCCTGACTCCTGGCTTTTCCTTATCGTTGTGTCTCTTTCTGTATCCCTTGACCTCGGCTATTCCTGACTATTCTTTGGTACGTTAGTCCGGCCATTCTAAGGTCCGGTATATGTTACCTATCAGTCCTCTGTGTTATACAATTCGCCGTGCTGGATCATTCTGTAATCCTGACATTAAGAAATGGCCATAGATCCTGTAGAATTGTGTAAGCACATAGCTGCTTGTGAAAGAAAACTGGAGGATAATGATCACCGCATGGATCAATTTGCCCAGGCCTTCAGTACGCTTCTTACCCGAACAGCGCATCTGCAACCTGCGGCCTCACCTCCACCTTGTGTACCTCCAGCTATAGTACACATGGCACCTACTATCTCCCTATCTCCTCCCCTGCATTTTGATGGTAATATTCAAGAATCCCAGGGATTTATTAACCAAATGGAGTATCATTTTGAGGCCTCACCAGGATCTTTTCCCACAGACAGAGCTAAAATTGGTTACCTAATGAATCAATTAAAAGGTAAAGCTTTAGCTTGGGCCAGTCCATTATGGGAGAATAATAGGAGTGTGGCACACAATTACCAGGAGTTCCTTGCGGAATTCAAACTTACCTTTGAACCTTTAGGCAGAGAGGATGACGCCTCTACTGCCCTGATGCATATCATTCAAGGGAACCGGTCTATCTCGGAATATGCCATAGAATTTCGTACCCTAGCTTCCGAGGTAGACTGGACTAATAGTGGGTTAATCTCTGCATTTAAAAATGGATTATCTGAAACTGTGCTAGATGAGATTGCCGCCAAAGACACCCAAAAAGAATTTATCACTTTTGTCATGCAGATTGATAATAGATTAAGAACCAGAGAAGCTACTAGAAACAAGACCAGACGCATGAGTATGCATTTAGCACCCCGTTTCTCCAGACCTATTGTCCCTGAAATTCCTGTACAGTCCGTACCCGAACCCATGCAGTTGGGGGTCACTAGACTGTCGGAAGCAGAAAGACAATCTAGGAGAAAAGAAGACCTATGTCTATACTGCGGTAGGAAGGGACATATGAGAAACAATTGTCCCATACGAAAACCACCACACCTAAGCACATTAAGGGGACAGGTCTTAGGTGTAATGGAAACGTCCTCTGAAAAAGAATAAAAATAGGTTTCTCCTTGACATTTCTATCACCTCTGACAAAAATACCTTTTCATGCAAAGCCCTGATGGATTCAGGTGCTGCTGGAAACTTCATAGAAGTTCAATTTGTCAAAGGTAATACTATACCTATCAAAGAGAGACTATCACCCCTAGCTGTTGAAGCTATTGATGGGAGACCACTCTCACAACCATTGATAACTCATGAAACCTTACCAATTAATATTTCCATTGTTGCATTACATAAGGAAGAGATTACATTTCAGGTGATTGCATCTCCTTCTTGCCCTATTATATTAGGATTCCCATGGCTTAGCAAGCATAACCCTCATATTGACTGGGCTAATGGGGAAATATTAGAATGGGGTAAGGATTGTAATGAAAGGTGCATATTGCATGTCACCAAAAGAGGGGGCACTATTGAATTACCTCAAAATCCCTCGACAATACCAAGACATTAAATAAGTATTCAGCATGACTCAGTCTAATACTCTACCTTCTCACAGACCATATGACTGTTCCATTAACTTACTACCAGGTGCTATGCCACCTAAGGGAGCAGTCTATGCTCCATCTCCTCAGGAGAGTAGTGTAATGGAGGAATATATTAAAGATTCATTGAATAAAGGCCATATACGAAAATCATCCTCGTCTGCTGGTGCAGGATTCTTTTTTGTATTTAAAAAGGATGGTGAGTTGCTCCCATGTATCGATTACAGGGCATTGAACAAAATCACCATTAAGTACGCCTACCCTATTCCTCTTATTGCTGAATTATTTGATAGACTTGAAGGCGCTAAAGATGATGCCATTCGGGTTGTGCAATGCTCCAGCGGTTTTCCAAGATTTCATTAATGATGTACTCAGGGATTACATTTACTCGTTTGTCTTGGTCTATCTGGATGATATCCTTATTTATTCTCCTGACCTCCAGTCTCACAACGATCACGTTAAACAAGTTCTGCAAACCTTGTTAAAAAAACAACTTTATTGTAAATTGGAAAAATGTATCTTTGACCAGTCTGAAGTACAGTTTTTAGGATATAATATTTCTGCCTCGGGGTTTCAGTTGGATCCTAAAAAACTAGAGTCTGTTCTACAGTGGCCTTTACCCACTTGGTTGAAAGCCATTCAAAGGTTCATTGGTTTCGCCAATTATTACAGAAGATTTATAAAGGGATTTTCTTCAGTAATAGCCCCCATCACCAATATGACACAAAAGGGGGCTAGTCAGGGCCGGATTAACATAGGGGCTGATGGAGCTGCAGCTCCAGGCCCAGGCCCATGGAATAGGCCCATTTAAAAAAAAAAAAAAATGTTAACTTTTTTTTTTTCCGTTACACACACTACTCTTGGTATTTTAAGGCACAGCCGATATTTGAGGCTGCCTGGCCGTGCCGGTATTGCTGTAATACCAGCAATACAAATGCAAATATTTTTCTCTGTATAAAAGGAGATTACTCTGCAATACCAGCACCGGCCAGTAGGGGTCACTGTGTATGGAGAGAGGCAGGGATAGAAAGTTACATCATCTCCCTGCCTCTCTACTCACTGATCCGCGGGGGAGCAGCTACACAGCACAGAGAGTCCAGACAGCAGCACCCAGCCTGCAGAGACAGACTACAGCTCAGGAAAGTGACGGATGGGGGAAAGGGAGACATGGGGACACTGAGACACTAGGGGACACTGAGACACTAGGGGACACATGTCTATGTCCACAAGTGCCCTCATATCTCCCAGTGTCCACAAGTGTCTGTGTCCCCATGCATCCCAGCCAGTGTCCCTATTGTCTGTGTCACCATGTCTCTCAGTGTCTCTAGTCTCTCAGTGTCTTAGTTTCCCCAAATGTCTGTGTCCCCATGTCTCTGTGTCCCTAGTGTTTGTGATCCCATTTCTCCCAGTGTCCCCAAATGTCTCAGTGTCCCCATGTTTCCAGTGTCCCCATGTCTGTATCCACAATTGCTCTCAGTGCCCCCATGTCTCCTAGTGTCCCCAAGTGTCTGTGTCCCCGGGTCTCTCAGTGACCCCATGTCTTACTGTGTCCCCATGTCTCTCAGTGTCCCCTAATATCTTAGTGACATGGGACACACTGAGACATAGGGACACTGGGAGAAATGGGGACACAGACACTGGGAGACTAAGGGACTGGGCGACATGGGGACACTGACACTGTGGTACATAGGGACACTGATGCCAGGCTGGCCACTTTTGGCAGTTCTGGTCACGTGATTCACCTCAGTGTCCCACCCTTTTACCCAGCCCATTGACTTACTTCTTCACTGGACACTGCTGTTAGGGGGTATGGATTTATTGAAAGATGAAAGCATAAATTAGAGAGAGATAAGCATAGAGTATGTGTTTTCTTATAGCTGCATCCTTTGAGTTATGAGGTTATGACTGTTTTAGTGTTTTTGGTCGATAAATTCTGTAATTAGGCCCCATCGTAATTGTCAGCACCAGGCCCACTGGGCTCTTAATCTGGCCCTGGGGCTAGTAGTACGATATGGTCTAAGGAGGCAATTGAAGCCTTTGAAACTCTCAAACAGCGGTTTGCCTCCGCCAACATATTGATACATTCTGACACCAGTAAGCCTTTCATACTGGAGGTTGATGCTTCAGAGACAGGAGTAGGGGCAGTTCTCTCCCAGAGGGAGAGCCCGGAAACTCCGTTACATCCTTGTGGTTACTTTTCTAGAAAGTTGTCTCCTGCTGAGCGCAATTACGATATTGGCAATAGAGAATTGTTGGCCATTATTCTAGCTCTCAAAGATCACAAAAACCTGGCTTACATAGGAGATGCTAAGCGATTATCTTCTAGACAAGCTAGGTGCTTTCTCGCTTTAATTTTCTTATCACCTACAGACTTGGTTCTAAAAATGTCAAGGCCGACGCCTTGTCTAGGCAGTTTGATACTGAGGCTATACTAGAGCAAGAAACGTCCCATATCATTCCCCCGGAATGTATCATTGCGTCTACTGTCCTTTCATTGTCCTCTCCACTGCTTGGCTCCATCATGGAGGCTCCGTCTCAGGTGCCCTGCGGTAAACCTCAGGACAAACTGTTTGTTCCATTGGGGGAAAGGGTTAATATGATGAAGGTGTTTCACGACAATGTGTCAGCTGGTCACCCAGGTATTAATAAATCCACTTCTGCTATCATGACGTCATTCTGGTGGGATTCCCTCAGGAAGGATGTTAAGGAATATGTGCAGGCTTGTTCTGTTTGTGCGGTTTCCAAAGTGCCTCATAAACTCCCTTGTGGCTTGTTACAATCTCTTCCTATTCCTAAAGGTCCCATGGTCCCACTTGTCCATGGACTTCATTGTTGAGCTTCCTAGTTCTAATGGTTCTAACGGTTATACCACCTGTTACGGTTGCCTCCAGGCTGGCTGGAAGTTGGACCGTAGAAAGGATGCTCGTAAAGCTCACCAAAGGACCATCAGCACCGTAGACACCATAACTACTGCGTAGACACCATAAGTACTGCAGACTCCACGAA